AAAGTATAAGACAGTTTCCGAATCAGGTAAATATTAACTGTAACCTTCTAAATTTTCTAAATGGGCTTGCCCAGCTTCCATTTTTGGAACTATCCATTATCAATTTTTGGGATATCAAGATTGGTGAGCCAACAGGATAGAGCCTGGTCAATCTGAATTAAGAAATTACAACAAACAATTTTTACTTGGGGATTATGTCACAAAAGCTTTATGAATTACCTTCGAGATAAGTATTGCAACATATGTTAGTAAGCCAATTATAAGACAAATTACTTGTTAAATTGTTTCATTTTTCATAAGTTAACAGCCTGAAGTCCCTTTCCTTAACTTGGTAAATACAATGTAGGTTAAACCTTTGTTTAGGTGTTAGAATATCTTTTGGCTTCCACAAATTAAATTCTGTATTTATATATTCCGACCAAAATATACATTTATAACTGTGTGAAAACAAAGGATTTTCTAACGTATCATAAAATATATAGCTGCAGGAAAAAAAAACTTTTTTGTTATACAATCAGTAAAAAGTAAAAAAATTCTTTGCAAGTAATTGACATGTATTTATTAATTAAAGTTTTACTATATACTTACCAAATAATTCAAACTGTATTTCCGATCTTGAACTAGTGAAACCTGATAAACATTTTTTTTTTAATTGCAGGAAGACTTCAAATCACTGATAGAGTTATGTGGTTTTAAGGCAGTGACATATGAAAACTTGACATTCGGTGTTGTTGCAATACATTCTGGATTTAAGCTGTAACATTACTGCATTGTAGATTATATTCTTATTTTAGGAATTAACTAATTAAATTAAAGTTGACAAAGTCAGTGTGAACTTAAAAACGCTTACTAATAATGCTGAAAGGAAAATTGATTTTTTCATGCTTAGATTCAGATTTTTCATTTGTATAGGTGTATGAATGGATTTGCTATTTTGCAAAATGTTTGCCGATATATGACTGTTGTAATGTTAAACTGGAGGTAAACAAAAAATAAGGGGACACAATGGCTGAGTGGTTAGTGACTTTCAATCAGATTTTACCTTGCTGCAGTTGAAAGGGACTAATTATGTCTCCCCCACCTCGGGGGGAGACATATTGTTTTTGCCCTGTCCGTCCGTCAGTCCGTCCGTCCGTCCGTCCGTCCGTCAGTCCGTCAGTCCGTCCGTCCATTCTTCGTTTCCGGACGATAACTAGAGTTCCTTTTGACCTACAGCCCTCAAACTTCATAGGATGATTGGTCTTATAGAGCTGATGATCCCTTTTGTTTTTGGGGTCAGTAGGTCAAAGGTCAAGGTCACACTGACCGTTGGTCAATTTCTCGTTTCCGGATGATAACTAGAGTTCCTTTAGACCTACAGACCTCAAACTTCATAGGATGATTGGTCTTATTGAGCAGATGATCCCTATTGTTTTTGGGGTCAGTAGTTCAAAGGTCAAGGTCACAGTGACCGTTGGTCAATTTCTCGTTTCCGGATGATAACTAGAGTTCCTTTTGACCTACAGCCCTCAAACTTCATAGGATGATTGGTCTTATAGAGCTGATGATCCCTCTTGTTTTTGGGGTCAGTAGGTCAAAGGTCAAGGTCACACTGACCGTTGGTCAATTTCTCGTTTCCGGATGATAACTAGAGTTCCTTTTGACCTACAGCCCTCAAACTTCATAGGATGATTGGTCTTATAGAGCTGATGATCCCTATTGTTTTTGGGTCAGTAGGTCAAAGGTCAAGGTTACACTGACCGTTGGTCAATTTCTCGTTTCCGGATGATAACTAGAGTTCCTCTAGACCTACAGCCCTCAAACTTCATAGGATGATTGGTCTTATTGAGCAGATGATCCCTATAGTTTTTGGGGTCAGTAGTTCAAAGGGCAAGGTCACAGTGACCGTTGGTCAATTTCTCGTTTCCGGATGATAACTAGAGTTCCTTTTGACCTACAGCCCTCAAACTTCATAGGATGATTGGTCTTATAGAGCAGATGATCCCTATTGTTTTTGGGGTCAGTAGGTCAAAGGTCAAGGTCACAGTGACCGTTGGTCAATTTCTCGTTTCCGGATGATAACTAGAGTTCCTTTTGACCTACAGCCCTCAAACTTCATAGGATGATTGGTCTTATAGAGCTGATGATCCCTATTGTTTTTGGGGTCAGTAGGTCAAAGGTCAAGGTCACACTGACCGTTGGTCAATTTCTCGTTTCCGGATGATAACTAGAGTTCCTCTAGACCTACAGCCCTCAAACTTCATAGGATGATTGGTCTTATTGAGCAGATGATCCCTATAGTTTTTGGGGTCAGTAGTTCAAAGGGCAAGGTCACACTGACCGTTGGTCAATTTCTCGTTTCCGGATGATAACTAGAGTTCCTTTTGACCTACAGCCCTCAAACTTCATAGGATGATTGGTCTTATAGAGCTGATGATCCCTATTGTTTTTGGGGTCAGTAGGTCAAAGGTCAAGGTCACAGTGACCGTTGGTCAATTTCTCGTTTCCGGATGATAACTAGAGTTCCTTTTGACCTACAGCCCTCAAACTTCATAGGATGATTGGTCTTATAGAGCAGATGATCCCTATTGTTTTTGGGGTCAGTAGGTCAAAGGTCAAGGTCACAGTGCAGTGGGGGAGACATGCGCTTTTTTACAAAAGCATCCTCTAGTTGAATTCTTCATGCCTGGTTTTACTCAGGTGCCCATTTGTACCGGAAATAATGCATGGAAGGGCAGGTATTCCTCCGCCAGTTAAATTGGAAAGTTACCACTTAACTTACACCGTTGTTGATGCAATGTAAATCCCAACCAAAAATAAAAACAACAGAAGGTTAACAGTTCCACTTGGATCACTGAAATAATGTTAATGTAAAAAAAAAATTCATATGTTTTTATGTTGACTTAAGACATTTTTTGTCATTTCTCCGCAGACAGTCCATGTAACTGGCTTTCATGGATATGTTTGTGTTACTTAAGTATTAAGTACTAGTAATGTTGAACAATGTCACATTAGAAATTTTTCATTTGCTTGAATATTGATATAGAATATGCTGATATCTTGTTGGGGTTTTTTTTTTCATACTCTAATCAGATTAGATTTGTTACCCATTTTGTAACATAACTATTTGAATGTGTGATTGATGTACATGTTTTTTTATAATTGAAACAAATGTGTACTGGAAATTGTTGCTTGCATTTTAAACTATTAAATTTTTTTTAAAGCTTTATTGATCTTTTGTCATCTTTGTAAGAGTTGCTTCCCTTTTGAATAATTTTAAATAATTGACTGTTTGGTAAGAGTTATTGTCCTTAGTACTGTTGAAAGCCTTATTCAATCATGATTGAGTTATTGTTGTTTTCAAAGTTTAATATAATTGATCTGTTGGGTAAGAGTTATTGCTCTTTGTACTTTTTCATGATCTTGATTGTAAGATTATTGCCCTTTGTACAATTTAAAAAACCGAACTGTTCGGTAAGAGTTATTGCTTTTTGTTCCGTTTAAAGTGTAATTCAACCACGATCATGATTGTAAGAGTTATTTCCCTTTTTTTCATTTAAAATGATTGAACCTTTTGGTAAGAATTCTTGTCTTTCTCATGTTTAAAGTGTGATTGAACAGTGATCATGATTTTGAGTTATTGGCCCTTTCTAAAATTTAAAATGTTATTGAACTTTGATCCGCTTTGCAAGAGTTTAGAGATTCGTTAAACTCGTATCAATTTATGTCCCTTTTGTACATTTGAAAGTGTAATTTTAGTCTGCCATGCAGATTTTGCTGGATCATTTTCCAATGCCTCGTCAATACATCTGTGAATCCTACACACTGATTATACTTTAAAAAATATGTGTAGAAAATGTGCTATTTTTAAAAATTACTGATACAGAATCTAGAAATTCCGGGCTTGAATTAAACTGAAATATTGTGCTGGAAATTGGGTTTATCCAACACAGACAGATTTTCTTTTACCTACCTTGTACAGTTTTGATATGCACAATGTAATTTATTAAATACTTAACAAACTTTTTTCGTACATATATTGCTCTGATAAGCTAATATATAAGCATATGTTTATATAGAAAATTACTCGTCCATATATTGGCATATTTTAATATCTAACTTTGCAGAAATGTATTGACTACACTTATATTGTATACTTTTTACAGAAATTTGATAATAATTAAAGCTTTGTAAATAGTGGAAGGATTGCAAAATTGTAATTATTGTCTAGTGAAATAACAATCAGTATCTGTTGGGCCACTTCGTCTACAGAATAACGCAAGTGTTAAAGATTTCATAGGCCTGACGTAACGTTTTATGGATTCAGCCGGAATGATGCTCAAATATTCAAATATCAAAAGGCAAAAATGCTTTTTCAAAAATCACATCCCTGCAACTAACAGATTAACAATGTCGGCTTGTTTACACAATGTGGACCTTGCTGATTGACATATACATGTACACGCGTCACGCGAGACTGTACAATACTTAATGAAGCAAGTTTTTATTTTGAAGTCGGAAATGCGCGAAATTAAGACTGAGCGAACTTACTTATAATGTTGGTTGCCCAAAATTGCATGCCAGCGAAATTCAATATCACAGTATCAAATAATGAAAGACACTGGCCATTGAATACAGTATGTAATCAAAAGTATAGAGTAGTATGGAAACGTATATGGTACACCCTGATGATATGATTAAGTCTACTTTAGGTAAGTCGACTTGTTATGATAACAAAAGAAAATGAACTGTACCGGTTGTCTACGTAAGCTTATCTTTCTGACATAAGTTAATGCAACATTATTTTAAAATATGCCATGCCGACGTATGCTATGTCAGCTTATCCACATAATTTGTACATCCTTCTTCCCTGACTTACCTAGTTCTTATAAGCATGTTGATAAAATCTTTTTATCTCATTCCTAGATAAATATTTTTGTCAAAAAGAAATAAGTCGACTTAACGTGATAGTCGAGCATCTGGAATATATATTTCCCCTGCTTGAACATTTATTTACAGCTTTGCGTCATTACCTACGACGACAAAAAAAAACTGCTTTTTATAATGCTTCTTACCCCCATAGGATACTTACCGTCTGGCAAAACGGAAGGTATGAACCGTATACAGGTACTAAATTCTTAATTAATCTATATTTTTATTCCAAATGTTTTGTTTTTTTGTATTTGTCAATCTTTTTATGTTGCATTATTATCCTCTACACAATGTATAGAAAGTATTGTTATTGAGAAAAAAGCAACGTTTATTTGATCATAATTGTTAATACTTGAATAAATTACCAGAATGGTTGTAAGTGCACAGACAGTCGGCTCCTACTTTATAGTTCTGACAGATTAGACCACCACTTGAATGTAACAATGAGACATGGGAAACAACAGGCGTGGGCTTAATCTTAAACTGCTACCAATTGCTAATTTTTAATGAACTTTCAGGCATTCTGTTTTGATAATATAAGCATCCCTGAATAATATGTCTTCTGTTTTATATGCAGGTATGCCTTTTCTTGGCATTGGCGCTATTCGAATCGACTGAAGCGGTTCTTCAAAATGGACAGAGAGATGCATTGATTTCTTTTTATCATCGACAAGGTTATTCCCATTTAGACATATGTGGATTCTTATTATTGGTGCACAATACTGTTGTCAGCTTAAGTCAAATGAAGCGGATACTCAGAAGGTTAGGACTGAAAAGACGCGGTGCTTCTTCTCCTTTACGAGATGTAATACGCGAGATTCGAGCAGTATATAACAGAGGATTTGCTGACTGTGGTTATAAAACAATATGGAAAATAGTAAACACAACAACAAATGTTAAAGTTACACAAGAAACAACAAGACTTGTCTTAAAGGCTATTGATCCTGTAGGTGTTACTTTGAGATCTGCACATCGCTTACGTCGCCGAACTTATATCAATAAAGGTCCAAACTTTGCTATACACATTGATGGCTACGATAAGCTGAAACCTTTTGGCGTCGCTATTCACGGAGCCATTGATGGATTTTCTAGATATATTTTATGGTTAGAAGCATGCCACTCAAATAATGACCCCCGAATAATCGCTGGCTTCTTTGTCAATTTCCTTAAACGTACAGGTCGCGTTCCGCGTCTTACATGTATACGTTCTGATGCAGGGACTGAAAACGTGACTGTACGTGATTTACAGACAGCATTAAGGTATGACGATGGAGATAACATGTCTGGAATAAACAGTTTTATCACTGGAAGGTCAACAGCTAACCAAAGGATCGAACGTTTCTGCGTCAATTTAAGACATGGTTTCGCAGTGTCTTGGAGGAACTATTTCAAAGATATGGTCGAACGTGGTTTGCATTTAGAGTGTTTAAGATATTGCTTCTTACCATTAATTCAACGTGACTTAGACAGCTTTACGCGAATATGGAACTTGCATCGAATTCGACAGCAAAGGCACACGGAAGTACCAAGTGGTATACCGACTGTGATGTACTACCAGCCAGAAGCATATGAAACGCGAGATTATTCATATCCTCTCCCTTGTGATATGCAAACAATTAATTGTTTGCAAGAGATATATACTGTAAGGAAACCTCAGTTTGGATGTTCAGATGAATTTATCCCGATTCTGGAATATGTGTGTGAAATCCCGAGACAAGAGCTGCCTGTTCCAAAAACAGTTCAAAGTGCCACTTCTCTGTTTCAAGCCTTGACCGAAAAACTAGATGACTATTAATAACTTGACACTTGACTTTGGAAAATCCAATATATTTAACGCTTTCGCCTTGTACAGCAAGTGCTAAATGCCATTGCCTGGAAGTTGGAAACTGTATAAAGTCGTCCTTTGTTTCACTTCAGTGTACAAAATGTATTAATGATTATGGTCATTCTTGGACCTTAAATTGTCTGAAAACATTAATATTAAAGCCTTGCATTTGAAGACTTTAGTTTATTATTTACGAAAAAAAAAAAACAATCATGTTACGTTTGCACAAAGCAAATTACGCTTTTATGATTTTGTAATTTCAAACGAAATAATATTTCGTAAAAACGAATTAATATTTTGTAATTACGAATAAATATTTCGTAAAAACGAATAAATATTTCGTAAAAACGAATTAATATTTCGTAATAACGAATTAATATCTCGTTATTGTGAATTATTATTTCGTAAAAACGAATTAAGTTCCGGGAAAAAAGTGTGGAAAATGTCACCTTAGGGACTCACTCCGTGATAAATAGAAACGTATTTGTTATTCTTTTTTATTTTAGTTTCCTGAATCACTCAATTGTTGTCATATTCTATAATTCCTGCACCTGCTAAACCAGCATCTGGGGTTTTACTTCCATCAGTATATAAATGTGATAATTGGTCCGTATATTTTGTTACTTATATGTAAGTTAGCTGTGACAAGACTTTCTGTATTTATATTACTTTTACTGATTTTACTTGTTGATATTAAATCGATGTTAACTGGAGATATTTCAATTACCGTTTCATGGCACGGTTTGGCTATAATAGTTAAATCATCAATTTCGTATTCGTTAATCAATTGTGTTATTCTTTGTGCATATGGCTTTTACACTGTTTTTATTAATTCTTTTTTATAAAATGTAGAATTTCTTCTATTTCATCATCGGCAGATTATTCCCTTGATTGATTGTGCGAGCTTGCTCAAGTTTGATATTGTGACTATTTGATTTGTCGGCTAGGACCAAAGCAGTTTCTAGGGGCACATTTTGTTTGAAATCCGGCTCATAATGCCTTACTTGTAGCAGGGACAAAGTTTTTTCTAGCTTGTGATATACAATGTTGGACCCAATTTTTGCCCCTAGATGACCCACATTTTGTACAAGACCTTCAGAAGACATTCATACTAAATTTCATCAAGATCCGATCAAAATCATCTTCTCTAGACTGAAGAAAATTGACCGCAATTGCACGTAACGCATTTTTGACCCTTAGTGATCCAGTTTTGGTTATGACCAACTACGTAATTAGGGGAACGATTTAATTTAGCCAAAAATTGGTTAAAATCCACCCTGTAATTTCTGACGGACAGACCACGGGCGAAGGTTTATTTGAAAAGCCCACCACCTGAAGGTGGGCGAGACACGTTCAAACTTGGCATAGAAATTATCAATGTGTACAAGTAGACAAATGTTCATGAATATCTAATGGATTATATAAGACAGTGCTACAAATATGAATGGCTGATTTGTAAGCTATGATCATTAATACAATAGGTGGTGCACACGTTCACATCCTGGGAAACATTTTGGTGAAGGTTAAAACATTCTATCTGTAATAATTATTTGGCAAGGCAGTTTTCATCATTGTTTGGCTATTTCAGGGGCAATGGACACCAGAAAATCGTTATACCTCCACCCCCGCTACTCATTTGGCGGTGGCACAACAATATTTTGCTTAGCATATAGAATATATACGAGCACTCGAAGAACAACACCAGATTTAAGATTTTATTAAATAAAAAGCAAGCCTCACAGAGGCATCAAAAACAAAGAACAAAAAAGTCTTATCAAAAAGCATTAACAAGATGAAAACAGTTATTTGACTAGATTATTAAAGCTACAGTCTCACTTACATCCCGGCAGAGCCCCGGCAGAGCCCCGGTAGACGTCCGGGGTGATCCGGGAACGGCCGGGGTACGACCGGGAACAACCGGGGTACATCCGTAACTCTGCCGGCAACGTCCTGGATGATCCGGGATGATCCGGGAACATCCGGCATTCGATCCCGGATGGAATAAAATATTTAATATCACCGGGGTGGTCCGGGATGATCCGGGAAGGTATAGCTTTGCCGGCATCATCCTTAGCTCTGCCGGGAACGACCGGGGTGATACCGGGAAAGCACCGTAGCTCTGCCGGCACAAACCGGGGATGATCCGGGGTATGATATAGCCGGCAGAGCTACGGTAGAGCTACGGTAGAGTTACGGTAGAGCCCCGGAATATGCCGGCAGAGCCCCGGTAACTACAGGCAGAGCCCCGGAGGATAAAGGTAGAGCTACGGTTGATCCCGGTAGAGCCCCGGCAAAGCCCGGATCATTTAAAAAAAATAAGGACAATTTGTGATGATTGAA